TCCATCAGAACCCTAGGCAGTGCCACCTTCCCCAAGCTTAATTGGGGCCGCTTCCCCAAGCTTAACTAGACAACAGAAAATAGAACATACACTGTAAAGTTTTTCGTCACAACGGATTCAATCATGGCCTTGGCATCTTTGACCAGTCCGATTTTCACCAGGATGTGTATCAACACGCAGTATCTTGGGCCAACCAGTGGCCTTATTGCAGGGGATCGACGACGGAGGTGATGATGGAATCGTTGTTGGCGGTGGTGATTTGTGCCAGCCGTGTTGAGGTGGCAATTGAGGAGAAGAATGATAAGGGATTCTGGATTAGATTCGAATTAATCGAGAGAACACCTTGATATTAGGGATTAGTTATTCCAATTAATCCATAACTCAGTCACTTCCCATATTTAAATCATAATTAATAAATTTATAAAGTGCAAATAAGTTGGGGTGATTTAGAGCATGATTAGATATAAATCCAACCCAAAAAATCCAATCATTTTTAACTCAACCATTTTTTTTAACTCAACTTTAACTCAACCCCACTATCATCAATATTATCAATATAATTAAATAATATCACTCAATCATTCTTACACATAACATCAACCTTAATTCACTATTCATCAACTCACATAATTTTAACTAACCATCACATCACATCACATCTTCTCTCTCCTACTTTTACATCAATTTAATTTTAATTATTTTATTTTAAATATTATTTTAATATACCACTAACAACTAACCATACCAACTTTTTCAAATTTAACCAACTCAAACCAAAAATCCAATCAAAACAAAAACTTTTTATATCCAATCATGCTCTTAGTATCTTTGCAAATAAATATTAATTAGCTATAAATATATAATATAAAATATATTTGATGGTATGTGGGGCAAATTTCTCACAAAAATATGAGACAAGGACAAACCAAATTTTTGTTTCCACTCTTGACGGGTCAGCCCGCCTGTTCCGCAGCCCATGGCAAGGTTGGGCCCAGCTGGCCATTGTGGCGGGCTGGCCCGCCCTGCCCTTGTCAATTCGGCGGACTGCGGGCCAGCTGTTTTGACATGTCTATTGATGCCCATCCAATCTAGGGATCTTCAATCCAAGTCCCAAATTCCCAATACATGCAGTGCGTCCAGGCATTTTCTTTACTATATTTCTCTCATTAACTTTTCTTTTGTAAGTCTTGTTATAAATACTCCCTCCTATTCATAATAAGTGTCGTTTTGGAAAGTTGCACACTAATTAAGAATAATTTTTTTGTCAATTATAACCCTCATTAATGAAGATAGAGATAGATGTTTTAAAAAAAAGATGAACAGAATATGAAAAGACATAGTGTATTGATTAACTAAATGAGGGTAATAANTCACACGCCCTTTTTTTACTCATTGCTGTCTTGTATATGCAAATCTAGAAAAAAATAAATCATTAATATGTTCATTTCGTAAAACTGCGTAAGGAATCATTTGCTTTTTTTGGGTTACTTTGAAATGCTTTATCTGATGGGCTGTCTCAACTCTCAAGGAGAGAAAAGTGAATCTGATCTGATGTGTGATTGGGTTCTGAGAGAGACTGAGAGACTGGTTTCGTGAAGAAAAAGTCCAAACTCTTGGTTCCAATATTTTTTTTCCCCTTGCTACAGGAGAGAAAGCTGAAATCTTGTAGCTATAAAGGGCAAATACTGTGTAGTTTATACATTTATGCAGTTTTACTGTTATACGGATAGAAATTAAACGTCCTGGGATTTTTTGAGGAAAATAATGTTAACGATGGAGAATGAGTTTGATTCAAAGCTAAGGATAGAGGGCAACAGTTCATCCCCAAATAGCGACAATAATGGTGCTAATCCTCAGAGATCTAAGAGCTTTGCATTTCGAGCACCCCAGGAGAATTTTAGCATCCAAGATTTTGAATTGGGCAATATTTATGGCGTCGGTTCGTATTCAAAGGTCTTTTATTTCTTCTCTCCATTCATAATTTTGTTTTACTCACGATTTTTCTCTGAGTATGCATCATGGACGATAGGTTCTTTTGCTTATTTCTATGTAGAATTATGTTTGGCGTTTCATTTTCTCGTCTTTTGTTTTTTATCTTGTTGGTGCCCTTTTGAAACTGACTGCTACTGTATTTTTGCTCTATTCTGATGCGAAATGTAAGTTGCAAAGAACTGCAAAGTTTTCCTTGGTAATAAGAGTTGAGATTTTTCTGACTTGATTGTTGAGAATATGAATTATTCCCCTCTCTTTACAAGAAGGATTCAGAAAAACTGAAACTAGGTAAAGATATTCAAAGATGTGAGTAAAACGAATATAACTTGATGATCTTAGTTCAGAATTACACAACTACTAGAGAAGGTCTCGTAAACTGTTACAACTCAAAGCTGTCATTAATTATGAGATACTGCTAACTAGTATGACTTATAATGAATGAGGCCTCATGATATACTTGGCTACTAGTCCTGTAACTTGCATATTGCAAAATAAAGAAGGGGAAAAAACGAAAAAAATGTTTTGCTATATGGCTGGTTTCATTTTTAAATTATTTACAGTTTTTTCCCTACTCTAAGCTTTGAGAATTATGCTGCAGTAGTCATCTTAAACGATTAATTGCAGGAATTGTCTAATAAGGATTTTGTGCAACTTACATACACGATTCCTACAATATGTGCTTAATAATCTCTTATTTATGTTTATGTTAGTTCATCATGAATAAAATACTGTAAAAGCTTCTGTTCATCTAATCTATTGTCAACAGGTTGTCAGAGCAAAGAAGAAAGACACGGGGATCGTCTATGCTATGAAGATCATGGATAAGAAATTTATTACTAAGGAAAATAAAACTGCTTATGTCAAATTGGAGCGCATAGTATTAGATCAGTTAGATCATCCTGGTGTAGTGCGTTTGTTCTTTACATTTCAAGATACTTTCTCACTCTGTGAGTATTGCTTGTCATGTTTTTAATGTACATATCTTTCAATGGCATTTCTGGCCATGAGGGTAATTTGACGATCCTATATTTTAATCATATTCTGAAGACATGGCGCTCGAGTCTTGTGAAGGTGGGGAACTTTTTGATCAAATAACCCGGGTAAGTCTGATAGTTTAGAAGCATATATTCTTTTGTGGCTGATCTCATTCATAAATCTTTTATGGAAAGAAAAAATGTTCCAGAAAAATTATTTAGTTAGGGGCTTAACTAGTGTTTTACCCTCACCGGACTTGGAGAGGAGAAGAGATTATGAACAACTAATTTGATGATACAGAGATGACCTTTGGTTCTTTTCTTTTTCTTTCTCTTATTTGTTGTGTGTTTGTATGCTTGATAGAGAAGTAATTAGAATGTGGGAAGGGAAATAACATCAACTTATACATTAATTTTTTATGTCCGATTCTTGTGCACTCCACATTATATCTTTTGACAAGAGACTTGGAATCTGATGTGCCTTTTGTATTTTTATAAGATAGCTTTTACTTCCTTGTTTTTAGGTGTTTAAATGTTGTTATAATTAGGGTACCATCTATTCCAAATGAAACTTGAATACACAAGTCACAGTTAATGTGTGCAGTTTAAGGACTGAATATATGCATGCATCCCTTGGCGAATTGGTTGTTCATAATCACGTTAAGTCCTATTCATTGTAATTTTGATTTTCATGTAGTTAATGATGTGTGCAGAAAGGCCGTTTATCTGAGGATGAAGCTCGTTTCTATGCAGCTGAAATTGTGGATGCTCTTGAATACATACACAGCATGGGCTTGATACATCGAGATATTAAGGTAAGTGTTTTTGTTTGGTGTTGGTTTATATATATATATTAGAGATATATGTCGCACACACATATATATTAGAGATGCTAATTGTTTTATAAATAGCTATCATAAATATAGTGTTGCATTACACACAAAAATATTGTTGTCATAGTTCTTACACATAGATTTGCTTCTTATTGGAATCACATCCGATATATTTAGATAATGCTAATAGTTTCTAGAATGACAGCCGGAAAACCTACTGCTTAGCGAGGATGGACATATCAAGATTGCCGACTTTGGCAGCGTAAAGCCTATGAAAGATAGCCAGATAACAGTCCTTCCAAATGCGGCATCAGGTACTATTATAATAAATTGATGCTTTTGTGAAGCAAAAAATTATAGTTTTCTTTGCTTTTCTTGGTTCTGATTATTAACATTTCAACTATAATCAGACGATAAGGCATGTACCTTTGTGGGAACAGCTGCTTATGTGCCTCCAGAAGTTTTAAATTCCTCTCCTGCCACTTTTGGGTACCAAACTTTTATAAATTTAGTTTATTATCTATTTTATTTTTCTTTTCCATTCCCTTTATGTTTTATCAATCAGGCATTTCTAATATTTCGCATGAATTGAGCCAGGAACGATCTTTGGGCGCTTGGATGCACATTGTACCAAATGCTTTCGGGTACATCTCCCTTCAAGGATGCTAGCGAATGGCTTATTTTCCAAAGAATTATTGCAAGAGATATTAGATTCCCTAGTTACTTCTCAGCTGAAGCGCGGGATCTAATTGATCAGTTATTAGTAAGACGTATCTCATTAAATTTCACCCTACTTATTTATTTTGCCTCCTTATTCTTTAGCTCCTTTTCAGCATATAGTATTGTGTAAATCGATAATAATATTATCGGTACATCTAGAGATCTAAGAATTTGTGATTTTAATCGGGATATTTAAAGGGACAAGGGGTGATTAGCAAAACTTCTCCCAAGTCCTGTAATTTCTTCGATCGTCAGAAAGACAACTTTTCAAGTTTCAAGTTTTAAAGAGGAACATAGTGATTTCTTTAGAACTAAGGTAGTGAATTATAGTAGTTATATAAAACACAAATGATGTTGTTATACTGCCTAACCTTTAGACAAGTATATTTTCTTACAAAAATGCACACTTGCACTATAAAATGTCATATTTTTAATTATATTGTGTTTTAAAGTATCATTTGAGTATGAATATATATATATATATATATATATATATATATATATATATATATATATTTGTTGGAAGAGTATTGTTGCCTAATAAGCAGCTTAACAGAAGATCAACCATTTATAAAAATACCCAGCTATAAATATTTTGTTTTTTCTCAATTAAGTGTTAAAATAAGATTGAAGAAAGCCATCTAAAAGTTAAAATTTATAGATAAATCTGAAAAGGACTTCGTATTCTATGCATTATCATCCTTTCAATGTAGGAATTAATAAAAGACATATTACAACTTATATTTAGTGATAGATTTTACTTGGGAATTGGGACTAGTAAAGCACTACTACTAAATAATTGCAGTTTGAATACTACCAAATGACTCTTAATTTATTGGTTGCATAATACAAACTACTAATTAATGATTCTGTGACTACTGTGGCGTCTCCAATAGACTATCAAAATGTTGCTCAGTAGCTACTAAGGAGCTACTTTTTTTATAACTCCCATCATGGTGTTAAAATGCTAGCTGAAATATCTTTAGTTACCTGGGGTAGCTACTAATAGCTTGAAAGAAACTACAAGAGCTTATGTTTTATTATACAGAACATGATTGGATTGGTACCTATAATAACTATAATTCTGTTGATATAGGACATTGATCCTAGTAAGCGACCAGGTGTCGGACCCAATGGCTATGCTTCTCTCAAAGGCCACCCTTTTTTTAAAGGAATTGATTGGAAGAATTTGAGGGCTGCAACCCCCCCTAAACTAGCTCTTGATCCGAGAGTAAGAAATTTTATGTACTTTTTTCATTCTGTTCGTGGCTATCATGCTTCTCGAATTTCGATATTTAAAATTTCTAGAAGTTATGCTCACAGATATGCCATTCTTGTCTTTTGGATACCACTGTAGCCCCCTCAGCACTTTGTGATCTTTTCAATTATCAAGCGATGTATAATTTCAAATACTATCCCTGAGGTTTTGCCAAATCACTAAGCGTTCCTGTTATTGGGAAATTACAAAATATCTCTTTGAGGTTCTTATTTTTTATATAATTTTCGTCCTTGTGAGGTGCACATTGTATGAATTGAAACACATGCAAAGTTTATTATTATTATTATTATTATTATTGAAACACATGCATAATCAGGTTCTTTATGTAACTAGTACGAAGGTTCTTGGTGAAAACACATATTCTTTCCATCTTGTTTACTGTCCATTAATAATCCAGGCTCAGTCGACTTCAAGCGAAGATCAAGAACCTTCTTGGAACCCATCACATGTTGGTGATGGCTCGGTAATATTAAATGATGCAAATGGTGACTTTGCATCAGCTTCGGAAGTTGGTAGCATCACTAGACTAGCGTCCATTGATTCATTTGATTCAAAATGGTACTGATTATACTTGGGCTTCGACTTTTAGAATTAAACTTCAGTAATGTCTACTTAATGCAATATTATCTTTACTGATTCAAGGGTAATAATCTTAAACTTGGCGCAAGGTCTCTCTTGTTGCTATTGCAAAAATATTCTTGTTTAATTTGTGGATTTATGTTTGTAGTAATTAATTGACTAAATGCTGCGAAGATTTTTCATGTGGTATCTTCTGTAACATTGGTTTTTGAACTGGTTATGAAGATATACTGTGTATTAATGTGTGTCTATTCCCATAAAATTTTGATGGTATCATATTTCTAAGAGTGCATAAAGGTTTTGTTCTGAAAACCAGTTAAAATTGTTGGTGTATCATTTTATTAACCTTCTGTTGTTCATTAGTTGCTGACTTGCTGGATCTGAAAGCTCTCAGTTTTTCATTCCGAATAACTCAAAATAAAATAATGTTGATGCAAAAAAGATGTAACTAATACGATATGATTATTTAGCCTGAATCTTTATTCTTTTTCTTTTTTTTTTTCTTTTTTTTTTGGTAGATGGAGCAGAAACTAGTTGTGATCTTTCATTCCCTTTTTTATATGCTTGGCTTCATTTTGTTTTTATTAATATTCACTGTTTTGAGCAGGAAATTGTTTTTGGAGCCTGGTGAATCCGTTATCATGATCTCCATGGTGAAGAAGCTGCAGAAACTAACAAAAAAGAAAGTGCAGCTTATCCTCACAAATAAGCCAAAGCTATTTTATGTTGACCCTGCAAAGTTGGTGATCAAAGGAAATATAATATGGTCAGACAATCATGATGATCTTAGCATTGAAGTCACAAGCCCATCAAATTTCAAGATTTGCACAGTAAGTCTTGAATTCCTCTAACTGTACTCTGATCTTCACATCTGCAAATATGGCATCATATGCCAGAGCACAGCATAGTAATCATATACATCACTTGAGAAACAAACCACATTTGTTACAAAATGAGGTTTTGCGTATTTTCTAAAGAAACCCAGAAGTTTCAAAATGACTAACATCATTTTTCATGCTGTTTTTGCCATATTTAACATGTAAACAATTTTTTACATCCCTCATCAAAAGATTTTCTTGAATTTCAACACATGAAAATACATATCCGAAACTTCGAAATTTGAATCTGAAATTCTCGGACATGCGGAATGTGGTAACCTAGTCATTCTGCTCAATGAAGTGTAGCTTGACTATATGTACTTTTAGTCAGCATGTGTATATTTTGATCAATTGCTTTGTTCTTTTGATGCAGCCGAAGAAAGTTTTCACATTTGTGGACGATAAACAAAGAGCAATGCAGTGGAAGAAAGCGATTGAGGCCCTCCAGAACCGGTGAAATAGTGCTTATGATGTATTTTGTCTGCACATTCTAAGAACAGCACAAAATTGTAGAACAAAAAATATGATGGAAGAAAACTGGCAACAGGTAAACAGTACATGGAGGTTCCACGCTGATTGATTTTGGCCAGGGAAAATTAGTTCATGCTGGCTGCTCTTGCATTCATCGCCACTGATGTTTCATGTCACAGATATTTCATTTCATCATAAGCTTCCACAGAAAATCATTTTTACTCATGCAAAGACTATTAGTCTAATATGAATGTCTTCCTTGGCTGGCTTGGCTGTCATTCATTGTTTGATTGCTTTGATTGCTCAAACTTTGTTTGATATTCATATTTTATCTAAAGAAGTGTAAATCCATCTGCTTTTATTCTAGTATGATGTGATCATTCTCAGAGAATGGAGAATGGTAAATAGTGAAAGAAATGAGATAAGTTTTGGACTATGACTGATCAAGTCAAACAAGGTGTGGCATTTCGTATATAAGTGGTCCTATTGTGGTTAAATATGCATATTGTGGTCAAATATGCATCCAACTTCAATCACCTAGTGGACCCCCCACACAACCGCTAACCCTAATCTCACCCTCCCTCACACACTCACACACAAAACACAGACACTAACTCACGCACTTGCACACAGTCAGAATGCCCACACACAGACACACAAACTGCGGATCTGCCTCCCGCAGCCCGCCTTTCGCCTCCCGCCGGACGCCTCTCGGCACCGCCTGTCGCCATCTTAATATGCCCTTACCCGCCATATGACTCACGACTAGTGGTTGCCGGAGTCTCGCCGGCCAAGGTATTGCTAGAACTCTGGCCACAAATCAACCCGAGAAAAAAAAATTCCAAGTCATCCTGCCGCCCGCCGCAACCACCACCTGCCGCCGTCTTCCATATACCTAGTCCCGACACCTCATGCACGGTTGCGTGCTTCGGCCTAGTATGTAATCCGGCTACGATACGTTCTCCTTGCCGACAGCTTTTGCGGTTGATTCCAGTCGAGACATTCCGGCAACTCTGACGCTAGAAGAGCGTCCGGCAGGGCTTACATCTCAACCTATTCTCGCCGCCTTCTCCAGCCATCCGACGCCGGCAAGCTGCGACACAAGGATGAACGGGAACTATTTTGGACAAAAGGACTTTGTTTGGAAATTTTGATAACTCATTAGAACTTATTTGCAATTTTATAACTTTACATTTATTGCATTTTAGTACATAAGGCATATGTGTAATTTAATAAAAGTGATATGAATGCACATTAATTATATAAATAGAAATAATCAAAACTTTAAAAGTAAAAATATATAATCGGACAGGCATATAAATATTTCGAACAAAAAAATTTAAGCTCGATCAGTTTCGGTCGATATCGTACAGTCTGACAGACATTAATGTGCAATTCATATAACAATATGGTGCATTATTTCGATCGATATTGTGCAATATTGTGCAATCTAAGCTGACCAAACTTTTGTTTCAATGCAAATTAATATTGAACATAATTATTTGGTTTATTCAATCGGGCAACTAAACTAACCAAAATAATTGAAATAAAATATTATATACATTATAAAAAAAAAAACATATTTATTAGTATTTAAATATTTTTATTTGATTTTTAATTTTTTTTTGGCTAATAAATAATTTCTTATAAAAAATATGAAAAGAAGTAATATTTTTTATATAGTTTGGTCGGTTCGGTGTCGAACCAAAATAACCAAGTTTTTAAAAGTAAAAATAGATAATCGAACCGAAATATAAAATTTAAGCCGAGTGTTTAGTTTGGTCGGTTTATGTTGCTATTGTGCAATATGACAGTCATTGTTGTCCAACCCTTCTAATACAAAAGTGCACTCACATAATGACTTGCCCCAAAACAACATAAAAGCAAAATAATTGGTTTGAATTGACTTAAATAATCAAAATAATATATTATTTATATTATAAAAAATATATTAAGTATTTTAATATATATATTTTATATTTTATAAAAAAAATTTGGTAAAAAAGACGTAACATATGAAATACCAAAATTGATAATGTGCAATATTTTGGTCACTAATGTGCAACTCGTCTAACACTTATGTGCACTCGAAGTGAAATTATGTTTTATAAAATTGTATGAAGTATTTTAATATTTTTATTTAATATTTAAATTAATTTTTTTATTGAAAAATATATATATGTATGTATATATATTATAATTTGTAATTTAAATAATCTAAATAATTTATTATTTATATAATAAAATTATATTAGTATTATAATATTTTTACCTAATATTTTTATATTATTTTGGGCTTAAAATACATAATATATGTGTATAAAGAACATATATAAAATAATATATTTTCATATATTTTTTATAAATTACAAATTTAGTCTATAGATTAAATGGAAATATATTCAAAATATCTGAAGTTGCAGTCAAGTCCTTGAGTTTTATCTAATTTTCAAAGTTAATCCTCCATCAAGTCTGGTGACATGGCCGACGACATCCGACGTCGATGTCTATGGCGGTCTTTGTCGTTCGCCGTGTAAACTATCCCATAGTGACAATAGATCCGACGTCGAGGGATAAGGTGTTTTTTTTTTTTTTGGTAAAACCGCCATTAATGGCGGCCGAGCTCCTGCTGCACCTTGATCGTCGTCGTAAGGACGACGACGGCCGGTGTGCTACAGAGCTTTCCGGTGGAGGAGGATGTCAGAGACGGCGATATTAATGGCGGCAAAACTAAGAATATGCATTGTGTATCAAATAAATGGGCACTCGATATATGCTGTTGATATTAACAAAATATACATTTTGTATGAACTAAATGTTTTTTATGAACTAAATGTGAAACGATATAGAAATAGATATCAGTTAAGTATGCATTGTTATTCATTTTTCATGAACTAAATATGCATTATCAATGAACTAAATATGAATTTGGTATGAACTAAATGTTCAGTTAAGTAAGTTTAGTCTTCTCTCTCTTTTTTGTGAAATGAAATAAAAGTAAGAATATGCAATTGACACCAATATCCTGGAACGTTCTACTGTTTTTATGTTATCAACTAAATATGCATTAATTATATAATAAAAAAATCTTATTCAAACTTTAGATAAATATATGCATTTTTTTGGAATTTCATTTTTTTGTTTTAAAAGAGATCCAAATAATACTGTCTGAATAAGACTAATGCCTATGCGTAAAGCAATTTTTGAAATCTCAATTGTTTTGAGATCTGAGATCCATGTTAACCTTACATTACAAGGCACTTCAATTTCCAATTTCAATTGGATATAAATTAGTGCGTGGCCCGTATGATGCACGGAAAAACAATATTACGATTGTATTATAAATTAAATATATAAAAAACATTAATCATGATTCATCTATTGTTTTAAAATTAAATCGGATTGAACACAGTCCGACCGGATGGACTGAGAACTGGTTTATAACCAGTCTAGTTCGACTGATAGGATCGATACGATTTTATAAATAAATTTTGTTATATTTAAAATTATTTTAAATAAAATTACATATTTAAATAAAATAGAGATTTATAAGTCATTTATCAATTAGTTTAAACATTTGAATTTATAATTTGTTAGATATTTAAGTAACACATTTTATTTAAATTTATCACAAAATATATATATATCACAAAAAGTACTATATATATTAAAATGTTTATAAATTAAAATATGAACAAACTACAAATGATTTAATAAAATAGTTTGATCGTTTCGATGATGGTCCAGTTCTGAATACCTTATATTTACTGTACATTAATAAATATTATTATAAAATATTATTTAATTCACATAGATATTAATAAAATGATGTATAAATATTCATCAATCATTAAACATGTTTTCATAAAAAGTATTGTTAATACGATTATTTGAAGTTTGGATTACATCACATTCACGTAATAAAATATTTTCAATATAAAATTTATATTTAAGTTCAATAATCGATTTGGTGTGGTCGAACTCATACATAACTTAGTCACCTGGGACCAACCAAGTTGTGTCAAGTTTTTTTACTATTTTAAATATCACCTAAAAGTAATTCAATCAACCTGTACAGTATCCTAATTCAATCACCTGATTGATCCGAATAAATTTTTTTATTTTCTTTAAATATATTTAATTTTATGAAATAAATATATTTTATGGTTCATATAATAAATTTCTACACCAAATGATAGTATATTAAGATTATAAATTATATATCTAAAGATGAATTAATTATTTTTTTACTTTATGCATATTAATAAAAATAAACATAGTAATTTTTAAAAAACTAAGATTAACTGATTGATTTTGCAATTTAAATAATATTTAGCGTTCAATATTTTTTTAAAAGGCACAAATATAAAGACCGAGATTCTAAAACTTTTGTTATATTTTGAATTGAGATTTTATATATATAGAGACCGAAATTTTAATATTGTTCGTTGTTTCTAAGAAAAAAATAAAAATAAAAACATACACACTTAATAAATCTTAGCCGAATTTGTTAAATAATAAAATAAACTAAAGTTCGAAATTTAAGGTAGCATTTAATGCTGTATGATTTTTAAAGAAAAAATAAAAAATAATAATAAAACTTACTATTTATAGACTGCATCAAATTCTTACATATTTTTTTGCTACTATTTTTGGTAAATGGTAATTCTTATTATATATATATAGATATAGATTATATTAACTTTTGTCTCAATAACGTTTTTCTCGATGAACATAGACGATCACTACCAAAATTCTCTACACGAGCAGCAGCCGTCCCTAAAATGGTGAAACCGATTATTGTCCCTGACAATAATCTCCCTACCCGTCACAGTCGAGGCCACCTTCATAAACTCATGGCAGTCCCCACAAATCCTCAGGTTCTTCATAATTCTCACCGCCACATTCGGAGGCAAACACATAACACCGAACGTGAACGCCAGCTTCTCACTGTGGTGCTTTAGCAGCTCTCTCTTGTAATCATCCTCAACATCATGCAGATCGTGTTCAACCACGCCTTTAAAACCGAATGCCTCCATCTCCTTCATCAACTCATCCAACTTACAATATATCTCACTCGCACGATCATGCATTCTCTCTCCAACCATGAAAGAGTGAACTCTGTCTTTAATCTCAATCCAACTCTTACCTCTCTCTTTCTTAGCCTCGCTACTCTTCAGAAGCTTCCGGGCAGCCGCAACTTCTTTCCACCTACCGTTAGCCGCGTAAACATTTGAAAGCAGCACGTGATTTCCCGCATTATGAGGCTCGATTTCGAACAAATTTCTCGCCGCCACCTCAGCAACCTCGACATTCCCATAAACCCTGCAAGAAGCTAAAAGAGATCCCCACATGGAAGCCGTGGCCTCGAACGTCATCTCGTCGATTAACTTTTTAGCCTCGTTTATTCTTCCTGCCTTGCCCAAAATATCGACCATGCACGAGTAGTGAAACACGTTGGGAGACACTTCATGTTCGCTCGTCATTAGTTGAAAATACTTACGCCCTTCATCGGCTAAACCCATATGAGCACAAGCAGATAAGACCGAAACATAAGTTACCTCATTCGGGCACAAAAACTCTTGCTGCATTTTTTCGAACATTATCATAGCTTCCAAAGGCCTGGCGTGCCTGGCAAGGCCAGATATCATTGTATTCCAAAGGACGACATTTTTATCCTTCTTCTCCACATCCGAGAAGACTGCATACGACTGAGTAATACTCCCGCATTTCGCGTACAAATCCACAAGACTAGAAGAAATGTATTCGTTCGTACCGAAACCGGTTTTGCAAACCACGGCATGCATTTGTCTTCCTTCTATAAAAGCAGCAATGGCAGAGCAAGCACTGAGAACAGAGGATATAACGTACATGCTACAGCCCGTACCAGCCCTTTGGGCCCTCAGAAACAAAGCTAAGGCCTCTTCATAAAGACCGTTTTGCACGAGACGGGCAATCATGGAACTCCAAGTGACATCACTCTTTTCTTTCATGGACTCAAACACTCGAAAGGCATCTGAGACCAAACTGCACTTGGCATAAACGTCGAGCAGTGCAGTACCCACATATGCGTTCGACTCCATGGAAGACTTAACTGCAAAAGCATGCAATTGTTTGCTCTCAAGGGCCAAGCCTCTGGATGCACAAGCACACAGCACGCTCGACAAGGCGAATTCGCTGAACTCCGAACCTTCGGCCAGCATCCTCACGAAAAGTCTGAGAGCCCCTTCTCCATTCCCATTCTGACCGTACGAGCCAATTATTGTATTCCAAGAAACCGCATTTCTCACGCGCATTTGATCGAACACTTGGCGGGCGTAGTTCAAAAGGCCGCATTTTGAGTAGAGATTAATGAGTATGTTTGAGGTCCGAGTGTCTGATTGCAAACCAAAGTGTATGATCTGCGCGTGGGTGGACTTACCCGGCATGATAGCTCCATGTTTGGCGCATTTTTGGAGAAGGGTATGCCGAGTATGCAGAAAAGTTGCTCTTGTGCAGACCCAAACACGGTCTTCTTCTTGGATTGTCGGGCCGAGTTGAGCAGTGCATGTTGATGAAAGGCTTCTGCAATGCTTGCCGGAAGATTTATAGCTCCTGCACAAGGATACGGCTTTCATCTAAAACTTCAAACCAAAGCTAATATTTCTATTGAAACACGAGCGCTAAAGTATCATGGCCATGGACTGTTCGCATTATTTTACTTCATCTAATATTGTACTTAACATATCATGTCTTCATTACACTCCTCGAATTTTCTGTACTTCCTATCATCTTGCCTTGTCTCAAATTTGCAACTCTGTCTTGTTGGAGAAAAATAAGGATTATCCCAACTTAAGACCTTTAAAAATAAGGATTGTCCAAAGTTTATAAGATGCAACGAAAATAAACTTGGGATTAAATGGGATAAGCCTGTACAATTTAGCGGGATTTTATCTTTAACCGCAAATGAATACAATAGGCCATATAAATTTTCCAGTCTTATTTTCATGGTTATGCAAACATAACCAAACGTAATGAGTTTCTGGACATTACAATTTTTTATAAAATTATTCCTCAATCAATGAAAATGGAAGTTAATTTCCTCGAGTTAGAATTAGATAGATAGTCGTATTCTGCTGGCCCCTAATACTAATTAACTACTAATTCACAACCTTTGAGTCACATCAACAAAGGCTCGCTGGAGTGCTTGAATGCTTTAAGTCCATCCATTGGGAACTCCAGGTAAAACCAAAAAGGAACAAAAAAAAAAAAAAAATCTACAACAGTCTAAGTAACCTAGTAATACCTAATAATAATAGGGGTACGAGGTACAACCATATACTATCAGCACAAGCTCCAGAATTTACATAACAACTCAGGTGAACTCGAACAAAACAAATGTTAGAACATGACTGAGATCAGTATTCTCCGGTTAACATCAATCTAACCATCTCGGCTTTATCTTCATCCGGGAGGCTGATGAAAAGATCCAAATCACCCGTGTTGTTGACCAGAAATTTAGCCACGGTCAACTTCTCTTTAACTGATATGCCCGGAATCTTCCCAAGCTCAGCGTACACCTGCCTCCTTGCAGTCGACACGTCATACTCATAACCGATCCTCCGCGCAATGTCCTCGAACCTCGCATCCAATTTGTCACAGAAAACATTTATGGCTTCCACAAAAGGGTCCGAACTGCACTCAGAGGCTGCTGCTGCTGGAGCTTTCCTTTTCTTCTTAGTGTGGGCCCCACCGCCGCTCTCAGGCTGACAAACAGACATCTCGTTTTCCTCGTCAAATATGCAGCATGCCTCGACAGCAGCAGCAGCAGCAACAGCTTCTGCTTCTTTCTCCTTTCCTTTGTTTGGAGTTTCGATTTCGTGAACGAAATCAACGGCGTTGTTCTCGCGAATGATTCTGTCCTTGCCGAATATTTCGCACCAGTCGGGGTAGAATGGCCAGGACTTGGCTCTCATCGTGCGAGCATTGGTATCTATCTGAATGAAGAAAATATAATTAATATAAAATCGTAAAAGTCTCAAATATTACGCAATCATCCCATCATATATTTTGTTTTGCACAAAAGCCAACCAGCAGTTACTTTTGAAAGCGAAAAATAATCTCATAAATGGGGTGTAACAGTACATAAGGGTGTGTTTGTTTATAAATTTATCCGGTACATACTCAATTCATACTCAAAATCTAACTCAACTTTAACCCAACTCCACTATCTTCAATATTATTAATATAATTAAATAATACCAAACAATCATTCTTATACATCACATCAATTTTAATTCACTATTCATTCACTCACATAATTTTAATTAATCATCACTTCACATCATTTCTCTCTTACTTTTATATCCAATTCACTTTAATTATTTAATTTAAATATTATTTAAATATAACCTCAAAATTCTACTAACAACTAACTATACAAACTTTTTCAAAATTAACTCTGGTTAACCAAAAAAAAAAAAAACTCATTTTGAGCGGATATATTTGTATACAAGCACGCCCTAAATGATTAAACATGCCTCGAGCTAACAAAAGAGCCTATTATTTGCCATTTGGGACGTACATAGGTGAAAAAAAAGAGCATGATGTTGCGACGGACTGCACAAAACAAAAACATAAGTATAAGGCTAATACAATATGTAACCTATAAGTGAACTGTACCTTTACATACGAGTTCCACGCGTCTTCCCGAGCGTCAATCATTTTCTTTGAGTCATCCCAACTTATGCCATCTACCCTGAGCATAGAAGCCAATGACCCGTGATGCTTTTTCCAAACGTGAATCTTTGAGTTTATGTGAGGTTCGGCTTTAATGTCCGTGTCTGGAAAAGCTTTCATCATTACACGTTCAAGTAGCCTCAGATATCCTGTTTTGAAACCGTTTTCGCATTTCCAGCCTTTGGATATGATATCTTTCAAAGCATTGATCAAGACTTCCTCTTCCTTCATTGACCAGCTACGCCTCCTTTTCTCATTCTTCTTCCTTGGGCCTTTAAGCATCAGCTCCATATTTCTAGCAATTAACTCTTACAATACAAACACAATTCAGGTTGGTTCAAAAATGTTCATATGTAAAAGCAAGCAAACAGGAAACGGTAAAGCTGTGAAAAAAAAAAGTAACTGAAATATCCTAAGCCAGGTCCCCATTATGATGTACTCTGCCACCATCTGAGAAAATTATGGTGATTGATTGATATAATTGTCAAATTTACCTTGCTGAGTTATTAGTTAATAATATGATACTTCATTCCTTTCATAGGTAGTTTATTTTTTGAGTGATTAGCTCATTTGATTTGCTTCCTTTATAATTCATAGGCTGCGACCTCTATATCAACAGGATCTCTTTCATTAATAAGATAAAAAAGAACGAAGACAAAAAGAAGGCAAAGTAGAACCCCATAACATTTCTACTTTGTTTTCTCCGTTTGTTCCTAAATTCTGCATTTGATAATCCCAGTTCATTCTTTTAACAACTAAAAGCCCCCTTTTAGTATGAGCTTTCGCAAAAGGGCATAACAATAACAATTAATCACCTAGAAGATTTGTATGAGTTTATATTAGAACACCATCGGATTGGGAGAGTAACACTTGTTCATCCAAGAGCGAGAGTAACACTTGTTCATCTCTTATCATGTTCTTGTTTCGTCTTCATGAAAGCTATCAGCTTAGACTTTCCGTTTCATTCATACGTCATGACATTTGTGTTCTATATTTCCTTAAAAATTAAAATACGGTTAGCTTACAGTAACATTTTACCTGACCTAATGTTTTTCAACTTCTAGACAGAAACAAGAAAAAGTCTAGAAAAACAGAAACACTGACAAGAAAAAGGGGAAAAAAACATTAAACAAGAGGATTAGTTAAAAATATATAATTTAGTGACACACAGAGAAAGATACAGACCCCATAGCCTACAACAATTGAAGATAAACATGCCAAACTAGAACATTTTCAGAAAAAGATTTACACTATTGGTGATAATGCATTAAATTACGAACCTTTTACTGCTCGCAGGAAACTTTGAGGGAATACTGAAAAAGGAGCCAAAACTATATACAGAACATGTTCCGAAAACAAAAATCTAAATCCACTTGATATGACGAGAGACTCCAAAACCAAATAAATGGGTAAATATATATAAGGAAAATAAACCTCAATTAAAATAAATTAAATGAAAAGGCTTCAGTGAATTTACCAAATAGCAAACCCTAAGTGACGCAAATTTCTCAACGGAGAGAATAATTGGAGAGAAATGTAGAGCTCGCAGAATGTAGAGAGGAGTGTCTGAATCTGTTTGATGTCAGATGAAACAAAGAGGGCAATCAGATGATGGCTTTTGTGGCTTAATTGTGTACTTTCACCATCACAATTCAGAAACAGAGGCTGCGTGTTTGGCTGGGATAAAACGGCTTGATATCACTCCATTTTTCGTATTATTGCTATACCACTTGTTTGGTTGACTGGAGTCGTGAATTGGGCTTGATTACTTGTCCTCCTACTAGTCATGATATATATTAATATTAATATTAGATTATTAGTACAACATAATTACACGGGTGCTTGCTAAATTTTTTTTTTTAAATTTAAAATTTATGAGAAAAAATGGTTGAAAATTTAAATACTTTTTATAAAAAAATATATATTACTATATATTTTAATATATCATTTTTTACTTGTGCGATTTACATGTGTTATGTTATAATAATTTTTCTAACTTGTAACATATAACTACATTAAACATAAATATTTTAATTGAGAAATAATTTTATTTTTTTAATTAATTTTAATAAAGAGTTTTATTATTATAAAGATAAATATAATTTATTTATTTTATATATACAATATGGATGTGAAATCGAAGCTCATCCAAAGATGATTAATTTTTTTGATATATTATATACATAAAACCGATAAGAAATTCAAAAGTTATCAACTTTTAAAATACATTTACAGTTCAATGGTTATAATAGAAAATGATATTAAATTACAATTAATACATCTAAAATGATCATAAATAAATCCACATTTATGGTAATCCGAACCTAATTATTTTTGGATTGAAATTAATTAAAATCTATCCAAGACAAATAATGAAAAATGAAATTTTGACACCTAGGATCCCAAAGCATGCGAACCTGCCACTTAGGCTCAGCCTATTCGAGAATTATATATAGGGGATACAAGGGGGATTAAGAGAAAATTGCTCCCTACACATTATATTACAAATTTACACAGTTACACGCCTTACATAAATAATAGCAACATAACATTAAGTTATGCTTTTATTTATAGATATACCACATAATTTATCCATCAGTTAAGGAATATTTTATTTATTAATTAAATAAACATATCAGTTACAAAAAATCATCTCTAATGCATATGGTAAGAGATTTCTCTCTCTCTCTCTCTCTCTCTCTCTCTTCTTCACACACAATATCCATGGCGAAAAATCATAGCGTGACTGATCGAGATGGCGTGACTGATGGGTGCGCGGTGGTGCTAGGAATCCGACAGTGCTAGAAGGCGTGACTGATCGAGATCTCATTCTCGAGGCGGAGGACCAACGGCTTGACACGAGCGTCGTTGGTGAAGATGATGTTTGAGAGGCCGACGGTCCCAGCCCGACGCCGCCAACGGTTGTATCATAGGTGAAAGTGGTGCAAGGTTTGAGCAATTTGCAAGGGAGAAGTACTGCTACGAGCATATATCGAAACTTTTGAACGGGCAATATATCTTGAGTATATATAGACAGTATATTTTCAATATATGTTGAGTATATAGTGAGTATGTGTTTCAACATTTATTTCAGTTTATTAAAAGATTTTTTGTTGATTATTGATTATGTTGTTTTTCGATATTTAATATATAACAGGATTATGCACGTACATATTAAGTAATAATTCAGTTTTGTGTATCTTTCGAGTCGTCGGCACATGGATAGTTTCGATCGCATTTGTTTTCAATGTTTATTTGATGTATATTTACAGTTTATGTTTGGTGTTTTTTGCAGATTTTTTGATGAGGAAATTGATATGAGATGGCAANTTTTTTTGTTGATTATTGTTTATGTTGTTTTTCGATGTTTAATATATAACATGATCATGCACATACATATTAAGTATATAACACGATTATGTTATGTATATGTGAATGAATAATATACTTACAGTATACCGGGCTGCAACTCTGTTGTTGTTTCAGGACCGTATTATATATTGTACATATTCTTATGCAACGCCGCTAACATTTTAGTCATCCTAATTTTTCCGTCAGATTGTTATTCATTCATTTAATCTTCACACGTTCTCCTCATGTTTATCAGATGTATTTATTTTTGGAAATTAATATAATTGGTATCAGTTACGGAAATCAAGGAAGAGAATCTGTTTTTTATTTTGATAATTAAACTGATCACATGCATGTTCCTAATTATTTGCTCAATGTATGATAACAGTGCAATATTTTTTCTTTGATCATATATACGCAATTATTTACAAATCATAAACGCAAGAATGTAAATGTCCCATGTCCTAACTCATCATTATTAGTCTATTATGGATTCATTCAAGCCCATTACAGGAGGGATAGCAACCAAAAACGACTTTTACCCATAAAAAAAGGGCCTCATTTAGTAAATTTGATGGGATTGGAGTATGATGAAGATCGTGTATTGCTATGCTCGATTTTATGTCAAAGGATGCTAGAATACCCCTTCTCGGCGATATGCAGAGCCGGCTTTTGGGGGGAGCAGGGTGAGCAACTGCACAGGGCCCCCAATTAATTGGGGCCCCATATATAAATATTAAAATATTATATATATAATAATATAAATAAAAAATATAATAATATATAGAAAGAGCCTTTTGTGTTTTGTCTATCCGGGGGAGATTCTTTCCTACTTGAGAAGTGGAAGTTGTTATTAATAAAATATTAAAAATATATTATTCAATATTGTAATTAGGGGGGCCTAATTTTATTTTTCGCTCTGGGCCCAAAAAATGTTGGAGACGGCCCTGGCGATATGTTGCTTCAAAGATGCTAAGACACCTCATTTCAACGTGTGGATGAGGTAGCTCGGATGTGAACCCCTGCCAACTCGAACTCGTGACGAACGAACACACTATTCCTGCTTGAGCAACTCACAGATGGCCCGAATTATGCTGTCATGGAGACCGGAACTATCTTTCGTCCCCGTCACCATAACTACGTCACTGCTATTATCTACTTCCACTAACACTTGTCGCGCTCCCAAATCTTAATCCAACCAGAGGACATGAAAGAAGCCCCATGTAATGCCCCGTTTATTTGTGGATTATTTGGGATTTATTAATATTATTTTTATTGCTATTATTATTGTTATTATTAATTGGTGATAATATTTATATTTTATTTTATTGAATGCCATTAAGTTTATTTATTTGTCAAATGTGATTAAATGCTAATTGTGAAATTTGTCTAATTGTTTATTTGATTTTGTGATTTATTAAATTATTAATATGAATAAATGTGTATGTGATAATGTGTAAAATATATATATTTATTTTTTTTCGGTTTATTTTTATCGCGCGTTTGCATTCGAAATCGATCCCAATAATTTTCGTTGGAACCGAAATTGGGCCCGAGAATATCTGTTTAAATTTTTATTTGAGTCCGTGAGCTGTTTTGTTATCCCAACTGGCCCAAAAACCCGGTCCGGCCCAAGCCTCAAAATCCGGTCCTCTCTAAGTCTGCTGAGCGTGACTTTATTTCTTGTGAACCAAAAATCCTTAACCTAGCAGCTATGTTTTATTCGTGATTTCTCATCTCTCTTGGCCTGAGAATTTTCAGATTCCGCAGCCTTTTATTTTTCTTATTCCCGATCTCAAATCTCTCGCTCTAATCTTCACGACGCGAGTCAGAGAGGATTTCCTCTTTCTCGATTTTTCTGAAGTGTTAATACCATTAAACGTTGTTCTTGGCTGATTTGATTTTGATTGTTCCCATTGAAAGAGTCCAAGCAAATGGCTTCACAAAGGTATACCAATGCATGATTAAAATAATTTAACGTTAGGTTTTTGTTTCATTTTTTTTTTTTCACAAACCAACTAAACGGCACTACAAGAAAATGATGAAATTCCAACGAAAATATATTCCAATGGAATTCCAACAACAATTCTCATGGATATTACAATGTTATTGTTTTTGTTGGAATTTTTCACTGAATTACAACAACAATGTTCGGTTGGAATGAATTTTATGTTTAACTTTGATGATTCCAGTAATAAATTTTTCAATGGTTGAAATATGTCTGAAACCTCACCATCATCGTGATCCCATCATCGTCATCTCATCTTCACCTCGCCGAACCAGACGCGAATAACCATCGTCCTCCTTCCATCATCACGTTCAGTCCCCGTCATCTCGACATCGCCATTCTGTTCGTGAGCCATCAACACGTCATCACTTCCCTCATCGTGCAGCAACTCGCGAAATCATCTCCGGCGGCCCTGCTTTTACGTTTTCCGGCGAGCTCGAGCAGACCACCATCTCCCGACGACGAGAACTCCACTTGCTGTGATCCTTTCCTCCGCGCAGCAAGCCCCGATTTCTGACGAGCCATCCTTGCCGCGCCGTGTCATCGCTCAACCTCCACGCACAGACTCTCCGGCGACCTCTCCGTTCAGTCTCGACGAGCAGCAACTCCGGTGGTGACCTAGCAGCAGCCCCTCAGCGACGAGCAGCACCTCAGCGATGGCAGCCCTTCCCTCGCGAGACGACGCGTGCCGTCGAGCATTAGCTTCGTGTTCGCCTCTTTGTGTTTGTTCCGTTTTTCCGAATTCCCGAGAACGGTACCTAGTCGATTCCGTCTCGTTTAAATCGTTTATGTTATTTATGAATATGTGTGATTTACGATTTGATATGCGAGATGTGATTATTTGTGCGATAATGTGTTCGATACGAGCTATGTGATAATTGTGATTTTATGTGTGTCGTTTAAGTGTTCGAGGATCTCTTCAATTATGAGAAATTGAACGAGACCTCGAAAGTCGTGTAAGTCGGTGGATAATGGAACAATGTCGAGTCCTTGGTCTTATGAAAAGGCCTCGGACGATAAATTGTGTGTTGTGATTTAATTGTCAAGTTGTCAAACTTGTTAATCGCTGTTTTGATGTTCGAATTTTTAAAAATAGCTCGCTGCTCGAAACGATGTGAAATTTTTAGGGATGTGTTATCTATTCATATTCTGCGTTGTGTAAAATTTTCATAATGTTTGGATTTTTCTGGACTTTCAAAACAGCTCGCTGTTGAGTTAACCATACTAATGTTCGGCGATGACCGCCGAGGTTAGGATTTTTCTGGGCAGTGATGCCAATGTTTGATTTCTATGGGGGATGTAGCTCAACAGTAATGCTTAAACTGTTGTAGTTCGAGAAGTCTTGTATCGAACCCTTTTTCCTATCTGAGTACCTAGGATTATGAATCG